TTGAGGAATGCTTTAGCAAGTTGCATCCTACATTTATTATTTATTTTTTTTTTCTTAGACAGGAAATGAAAACCTCTTAATTTTCTTTGTTTTGATTGGACGTGTAAAGATTAATTTGTCATGAATAAACGACAGAGTTATTGTAACAGCCGCTTTATTGTTGGTGGGTATGTATGTGATGTCTATTGTTTATGATGTTTATGGATAACAACCAAATGTTGATCGCAGTGTATAACGTTGTCTCGCGTCAAAATCTATAAGGGACAAAGAATTTATGGACGAATTCGAAATTTATTATTATGATTATTTTGTTACGTTTTAAATATATAGTATTAAATGTTAACATGCACTTGGATTTAGAGAGGCCGTAGTGGTACATGAAGGGAGTTCCTCCTTAATTAGTACCTAATGAGGGGGTGAGAACTGAGTTTACTGTCAATTGGGCAATGTTGGTGTGCTAGAGCTACGTACGCTGAAACCTATTGTGTGTCCTGTTACATACCGTTGGATATAGCGCGACTGGGTTTCATCGTACATAATCGAGCTTGGTCGAGAGTGGCGGCAATGTGCAATGGGGGGCATTGGTGGTTGATGATGGCTGAGGAAGGCAACAAGACTGTAGAAGAGGTAATGTGGTGCATTGGTAACTGGATGGGGCCGTCGGGTACCCTACAACATAGCAAGCTAGGGTGGTTGCCAAGATTGGAAATGTCTTGGGTGTGGTTGTAAAGAGGGAGTGGCGGCAACGAAGGAGCAAAGAGAAAGGAAGAGATGTGAGGGGTACAGGGGATGTGATATGATGTAACTTTGAAGCCTGTTAGGAATATAACGGAATAATGCGGAAGCGAAGAATCCAAAAATTGAGAATTATAGAAGTTAAATAATAGGGGAAAATATAATAAATGACAAAATAATAAAATGCTAAATTGGAGGAATATATAAATAAATAAATAAATAAATAAATAAATAAATAAATAAATAAATATATATATATATATATATATATATATATATATATATATATATATATATATATATATATATATATATATATATATATATATTTGTCTACGTGAGAAAAAGAGATAGAGGAATGAATGATGAATCCATGTTGATGTGATTACAAATGCAAATAAGATAAACTATTTATAATTGCAAATGAGAGAGTAATGCGGCAATCACAAGGAGCTCTGCAATGATCGATTACATCGTGTAAGAAGAGACAACAACAACATGCGACGTGGATGGTACGTCGACGGTTGTCTAGGATGACTTCAAGGATTTGAGCCACATATTAATTATTTCTTTACAATCTCCACATTGGATCAAATTCATTGTGAAATTAACAACTGGAACAGCCGACTGAACTCAAGCACTGCTTGAACTTAGCAATAGGAAGAGTCTCAGAACAGCAGGATGGGTCACCATCAACCTCCTATGCGACTGAAAATGCATAAGCAACCATGTTGGTTTCATCATCACTAGCATACCTAGCAGGTTTTTTAATTGTCCTCCTAGGACAATCCATAGCAATGAAATACTCTCATTGTGACTCGACGAGAGGTGCGGTGTTAGTAGATGCATCATCATTAGTATTATCACCGGTGGTGGTAATACTATCAATAGGCCTGAACTCAAACTCCACCTTTTCACTAGTACTCTGCGTCTCACCTGTACTGGGAACTTTTTCAGAAGAAAGTAGTGCATTTTCGTCAAAAGTGATATCTCGACTCAGAATGATTTTCTGAGAATCAGGAGACCATAGACGATACCCTTTTGACTCTAAGGCATAACTAAGGAAAATGCATTTGATAGCTCTCGGGTTTAATTTACTCGTATTGGAATGAGCATAAGCAGGACATCCAAAAACTCTTAAGATAGAGTAGTCAACAGGATTACCAGACCAAACTTCCTCTGGAATTTTGAAATCAAGGGATGAATGTGGAGATCTATTTACCAAATAGCAAGCAGTAGAAACGACCTCGGCCCAAAAGTCACACCGTTTCCATAACCCAGCATTAGAGAGCATACAACAAGTTCTTTCCAATAGAGTCCTGTTCAAACGTTCGGCAACACCATTATGCTGGGGTTTACAAGGCAAGGTCTTGTGCCTGGCAATTCCATTTGCCGCACAGAAACCATTGAAATCTGACTCACAGAACTCCACTTGACTTTTTTACCTGTCTGAGTCTCAACAAGTATTTTCCACTTCTTGAAATAGACCCAGAATTTACGAGAAAACTCATCAATAATAGACATAAAATATCTACAACCTCCAGGAATTTAGTTGGTCCCCATAAATCGGAATGTATGTATTCCAATACATCTTTGGTACGGTGTGTTACAGTAGAGAAACTAACCTTCTTTTGTTTCCCAAAAACACAATGCTCACAAAACTGTAATTTACCCGTACCTGAACCACCAAGGAGGCCTTTCTTGCTCAGGAGATGCATGCCTTTCTCACTCATATGCCCCGGACTCATATGCCATAGTTGAGTGAGATCCGCATCAGACATCGATGAGGATACCGCTACTGAACCTATCACAGTACTGCCATGCAAGTCGTACAAGAGTCTAGAACGAGAAGCTTTCATGAGAACAAGAGAGTCTTTTATGACTTTCAAAACTCCACCTTCAGCTATGTACTTGCACCCCAGAGATTCCAAGGTGCCCAATGATATCAGATTGCGTTTCAAATCAGGAATATACCGAACATTAGTATGAGTCCTGACAACGTTATCGTGAGTTTTAATCTGAACACTTCCAATTCCACTAACCTTGCATTGGGTATCATTACCCAGCAAGACAACTTCACCATCTACCGATTCCAGAGAGACGAACCAGTCTTTGTGAGGACACATGTGAAATGTACAACCAGAGTCCAAAATCCACTTGGTTTCGCTCCGTTTGCAACCGGAGCTAACAGATAACATAACATCGCCGTCTGAATCACTTTCAACAACACTAGCTTCAGCAGACTTCTTTTCTCTCTCTTGCTTGTTTTTCAACTTGAAGCATTCAGTCACATCATGACCATGTTTCTTGCAGTACTTACAGGATTTGTTGGACTTACGTCCTTTGGACTTGTATCTAGAATTTTTATTGCTACTCTCGGTTTCAAGTGAACAACCCCTTACGGTCAAGCCTTCACCTTTGTCCTCAGACTTAATTTCAAAGTCGAACTTTTCTTTGGACAATAGGTTTGACTTAACATTGTCGAAAGTAAGGGTATCACTACTATTACCATACAGCATAATTTCTTTGAAATGCTTGTATGATTTAGGGAGAGAGACAAGCAATAAAACAGCACGATCCTCATCTTCAATTATGACATCAATATTTTCCAAGTCCAATAAAATAGAATTGAATTCATCCAAGTGAGATTTGATAGAAGTACCTTCCATCATACGGATTGTGTACATACGCTCCTTCAGACGTAGCGTGTTCACGAGAGTTTTCGCCATGTAAAGCGTATCCAGCTTGGACCATAAATCTGACGCAGTCGTCTCACTTACTACCTCACGTAGAACCTCTTTAGACAGGCACAAAAGAATGGTTGAACACTTGAACGTGCCTTGTCATCCAAATCTTCCCAATCTTCGTCTGTCATTGCAGCCGGTTTCATCTTCTTCCCAGCTAGCGCTTTCTTCAAACCGTTCTGGGTTAGAACAGCTTCCATCTGAACCTTCCAGATAGAGAAGCTAATTTTCCCGTCGAACTTCTCGATATCGAACTTGGTAACAGTCGACATCTTTGAAAATAATTCTCAATTAAACTTGGATCTAATACCACTTGCTAGGAATATAGCAGAATAATGCGGAAGCGAAGAATCGAAAATTGAGAATTAAAGAAGTTAAAATGTGGTTCAAATAATATAGTTCATATCCATGAAGACACAACCTGTTGCACCATCCACGTTGCCTCATCGCACGCCATCCTCCGATTTTGGCTCAATCTGCATGTCTCATGCACGTTATCCGCCTTTTGCTCTCCTCCTTACTATTGCCGCATAACTCTCTCACTTTTATTGTATAAATAGTTGTCATAGCTTTGTAATTCATGCATCATCAATATTGAATTCTTTTTCTACCTTTAGTTTCTCACGTATTCTCATATATATATATATATATATATATATATATATATATATATATATATATATATATATATATATATATATATATTATATTTTCCCAATTAACCAATTTCCTAATTTTGTCATTTATATATTTTCCTTATTATTTAACTTCTATAATTCTCAATTTTCGATTCTTTGCTTCCACATTATTCCGCTATATTCCTAACAAAGCCTAGTGTCCACTAGTTATTCATTTAAATTTACAGCTTGGACACTATAACCTTGTAGGGAAATTGGAGATTAGCGGATAATGGATTGTGTTAGCAGTTTTTACCAGCGAATTGTATCAACGATTTGTAAAAAATGTTTATTAAAATTAGATGTTTAGAGTTTGCAGTTAACATGCAAAATGACTTCGTGTAATGGTTCTCTATTGCCCCTGAATAGTCTCATGCCCGTTCTCGCAAAATTATTTGTACTTGCATGACTAGTTAATTCTCCATGGAGCTATGGAATCCTTCTATCTCAAGATCCAATGGTACTAGACGTGTAGGATTGCGCTATCCCCGGGTCATATACCATTTAATATATATCAAGAAATAAAATAAACAAGTATCAAAGAGCAAAGGCAAAAAGTATAAAAATAAAAGGAAAATAACTAGATTAATAAAACGAAAGAGTTTCTATTATCAAGAGTCCATGACAAAAGCGCAAAAAACTTGATACCTAAGTTGCAACTAAAAAAATATGATTAGGCAAGTAGACCTATCATTTCTGAATATAGAAGTTTGAGTAACGAGTAATACATCACATAGGGGCTTCGAGTACTAGCACCAACTTTGATTTAATCATTATCTAGCCTAAATATATGACAAGGAGATAATAAATTAAAACAAATGACTAATCAACAACAGGTAATCTGGGGAAACCAAGAAAAGTTAAGTAAATTAACTAGTAAATAAAGGGTAGTTGAATCTATGAATCCCCCTAAGAAATCATTGATCATAATAAATAAATTCCAACAACAATTGTATATTTCAAAGACGGCGAAACCTCCTAATTATGTTAATATCTTTGTTTTCAACAGTATAAACAACTAGCCCACAGGTTGATTAATCATAATCTCTTCTCAATTAAAAACCTCAAAGACTGAACAATTTGACTTGAACAAAGAGGATTGATATAATACTACCTCTAGGGTTGCAATCTACTCCTCATGTGGGATCTACACATACAAAGGATATCTCTGTCACAAAATTTATACATCAATCATGAATTTAATAAGACGGTAATTATTAATTCAAGAATGATAAAGAACATGATTGAATCAAAGAAAAGCATTGTGCTATGGTAAGAACACAATTAAGAACAAGGTCTCATACTAGGGTTGAGCATAAATTCAAGAACTACATGTTTAGCATATAAACATTGAGGCAAAAAACAAAAGAAATGAAATAAACGATAAACGAATTGAAGAACATAGAAAAATACCTTTAATCCACTAAGAAATCTTGACTCCAAGCGTTTCCAAGATGTAAAGATGCGTTCTAAAGAGTGGTTGAAACCATCAAAAGTGTCTTGGATCATTTTCTTGAAATCTTTAGTTAGAAAGTCCTCAAAAGGATTAAAAATGTGACTTAAATAGAGTTTTCGACTATTGACATGCTCTCTACACTGCCGTGTCGATGGACGTGTCAAAATCTACTGCGCTAGGCGACAATACCTTGTCACGACGGTGTCCTTAGCATGGCAAAAACCTTTGAAAATAAAAAGTTTACGGGTCAAGAATTTTCACCTTATTTTATCACGAATCTCTAAAAACTCTAATCATAAAAGTTAATAACTTTCTAGTTGTGGGGTTCAAACCCGCACACACTTATGTGCAAAAGATATTAAATCTTCCCCCTTAACCTCTTAGGCAAACTAGCCTATGCATCATTTCTTACTGATTGTTTTAAATTTACTTTTTCCTGTGTCGCAATTGTTGAAATTTCACTTTTCATATTTATTGTTTTAAAGTTATTTATTTTCACTTTATTTTAATTGCACATGCAGATTATATCATAGACCAAGGCCTACTTTGTATTGTCGACCTTAGTCTAAAACGACGTCATTAATAATATCAACTAATACATCATGTTAAATAACATTTATTTTGTACTATTTTTATAATATTTGATGTATATGATAAATTTAAATTTTACTGCACATAAACACTAAAATATCCATAAATATTATACTACAGGTATATCATATCTATTTCTATCAACTTTGTAGTAGGTATATAATATTTCTTCTATGTGCGTGTTTATTAAAAAAAAAAAAACCTTAATATCCATAAATATTATACTAGAGACGTATTATGTTTAATAACATTGATCACGTACTATCACTACTACAGAAATCACTTACAACGTCGGGGATATAACGTCGGTTTTTCAAATAACCGACGTTAAATATTTTTCTAAATTTACAATTTTTTAAAAAGACATATAACATCGGTTTAATCATAAAAATGTCATAATATGTCCATAAAATTAAAAATAAATTACAAAATATACGACGTCCATTTTTCATTTAATTAACGTCGTAACACTTTAATTAAAAAAAATATACTATACGACGTCAGTCTTCCAAATAACCTACATCATAACCTTTATATTTAAAAAAAAATTAAAGTTTCAGATTGCCTATACCCACCGCCGCCCACACTTCAAACAAAAAAATCTATACCCATCTGCCATCCTCGTCTCCACGGCACACTGTCGATCCACTACCGTCGCGTTGTCGCCACAGCCACCACATCGTCTCCTTTTGCTCATCACCACAGCTGCTCTACTATAGCCGCCAGACCGCCGTCGCCCCATTGGCTTCACCGTCGCCAGCGGTCTCACTGCTCACTGCCCCGTCATGTCGCCCCAATAGCCCTCGCTGGACGCCGCTGCGCCACTACCACACGGTAATAGTTTTTGTTTTTTTTTTTTTAGAAAAAAAATCATTTTAATATATTTTGAATTATTTATTTATATATATTTCAAATTTTATTCGAAATTTTATGAATAGTGGTGTATATATTTATAATTTTATGAGTTTGTGTGTGTGCAAAATTTATTTATAAATATTTCAATTTTTATGAGTTTGTGTGTGTGTGTACATATTTTGATATTTTGAATTGTATAAACGATTGTATGTATATTTTAAATTTTAGGAATTTTATGAAATATTGTATATCTATTTTGCATATTAATTTACAAATAAAACTTGTAGGTCATTAAATTGAATTGGATTTTTTTATTGAGGTGGACAAATTTTTTTTGAGGTAAGATATTTTTCTATTTATTTTCATGCAAATTTTTGGCATGTGAAGTTTTATTACTTTTTATCTATATACTTTGATTATTTTGATGGGGGGGGGGGGGGGGGGTCATTATGTGCCGAAATTGATAGCGTGTTAAAGATGAGGATTAGAATATCAGAAGATACGTAATACAAGTCTGTACAATAGTAGTATAGAAAGACAGAGAGAGAATCCTAGTAGGCTACAAATATAAGAGTCCGAACACTCCCCCTCAAGCACAAAGTTGGCAAGTCGCAACATTGAGCTTGTCACGTAGAAAAGTAAACCAAGTAGATGGAAGAGTCTTAGTAAAAATATCAGCCAATTAACTGATCCTTCATAGAAATAAAATGAACTTGTATCTCCTTCTTGGACACCTTGTCACGAACGAAATGGTAGTCAGTCTCCACATGCTTTGTTCGGGCGTGGAAAACTGGGTTGGCACACAAATAAGTGGCACCCAAGTTGTCTCACCATAGCTTAGGCCCAGAAACAGGTGGCAAACCAATCTCCTTGAGCAGGGAAACGAGCCAGGTGACTTCAGCAGACACATCCGCCAATGCCTTGTACTCAGCTTCAGTTGAGGAACGGGCCATAGTACGCTGTTTCCGACACGACCAAGAGATCAAATTGTTGCCCAGATAAACTGCAAAACCACTCATCGACTTCTGGTTATCAGGATTTCCAGCCCAATCAGAATCAGAGAAATCATGGATGTCAGCCGACGCAGACTTTTTGATATGAAGACCAAAACCAAGTGTACGTTTAACATACCGTAGGACCCGCTTCAACATACTCTAGTCCGCCGTAGTTGGGGCATGCAAATGCTGACATACCGAGCCGATTAACAGCATAAGACAAATCCGGGAGAGTCATGCGAGGACAGAGCTAGTGTGGCGGTGTTTCGTGTTTGGTGGCGACTGGCGAGGTGCGACCAGCGACAGTGCGAGGACAGAGCCACAAACAGGGATAGAGCGACAGTGCTATGGTAGGGGAGACGAGAGGGTATCTTATACCAAATAACGGTACTCTGGTAGCGAGATCTGAGAGGCAGATAGGCGGTCCGGCGGACTGGCAGAGAGTGACGAAAGAGGCGAGCGACATAGCAGTCTTTGGTCAAAATATGAAATAATGGAAATTTGAAATCACTTGTTTTAGAAACATTTAGCATTAAACATAAATATTAATATTAATATTAATGATCGTAGAGATTTAGCGGCGGTTATGATAAACCGCTGCAAATAATTGCATCTAACAATAAATTATTTAGATTTTCGTATTAAATTAGCGGCGGTTTTTATAACCGCCTCTAAATGAACATTTAGAGGCAGTTATATATAACCGCCGCTAAGTATATGTCGCTAAAAAGTCAGTTTGTTGTAGGATCACTGCCAAGTATTGAAGCGCACTAGCCAAGCTGCGGTACTGAGTGGGATCAGCATAAGGAGCTGGCGCAACATCATCAGACTTGTTAAGCGAAACCGGAGTGGACACTTCTTTACACTCAACCATACCTGCACGTTTAAGAATATCCTGCATGTATCGTTGTTGAGAAAGAAGCACACCACCAGACAGCGGCACAGTCTTAATACCAAGAAAAAAAGATGGAGCCCCCATATCACGAATTTTGAACTCTGTGCCATTTCAGCCACAAGACCGGCCATACGGTGTGGATCTAAACCGATGACTAGAATGTCATCCATGTACCCTAAAAAATAAAGCTGAGTACTGTCATGAGAATAAACAAATAATGAAACATCAGTTTTAGAGTGGATAAAGCCAACAGAACCAGAAAAGTATGCAATTGCGTAAACCACGCACGGGGGGCCTGTTTAAACCCATACAACGGACGTTGAAAGAGACACACACGATCAGGCATCGCCTTATCCACATAACCAGGCGGCTGATGCATATACACAGTCTCAGCGAGGTTGCCATTCAGGAATGCATTATGAACATCCGATTGACGAATGGACCAACCCTACGAATAAGCCAAAGAGAGAAGAAGACGAACCGTGGTCTGCTTAACAACCGGACTAAATGTGACACCCCGTAATCCAAATTCAATTAAGGGATTAATTAAGTAATTAATCCTAATCCGATTGATAATTTAATTCCTTAAATTCTTGAAAATTCAATAGTCGGGGACTAGTAATTGACTAGTCAACCCCAAAGTCAAGTGTTGTACCTAAAGCTTTGTGAGTAGTTCCCTTGTTCCCTTACACCTCTTCATTTTAGTAAGGGTAATAAAGGAATTTCTCCTTATGTTAGTAATGTAAGCTAACCTAGAAGACACCCTCCATTCTTTTCCTTACACTTTATAAACTTGAGCTCCTCCTTCTCTCTAAAAGTTAGATAGTTTTTCTTCCAAGCCAAGTTGGAGCTTTACCAAATCTTCAAAGTTTGTCTCCAAGACTCCACCTTTCCTACCTTTGAGCATCTAGGAGGGTAAGATCTATGTTTATCTTGTGTTTTTAGTGTTTTCTAAGGTGTCTTTCCTTAAAGATAGAATCTTTATGATCTTTTGGTGTGTTCTTGAAGCGGGTGTGGAAGGTGAACCTTATTAGGAGCTTTGTGAAGTGTTAAGTGAAGGTTTTTGT